TTTTCTAAACATTTTTAAGGCTATCTCTTCTAAGGTGTTGAAAGCTTAATGCTTGAAGACTCTCACGCCAAGAGCTTCATGATCCGAGAGGTCCCTTACCTTGACAGGATCCAGGGGCCTCGGAAGATCTCACCTTAGAGACTAGTTACCCCTTCCCAAAAGCCATGGAAGTTTGGGGGACTAGTTAAGCCATTGTTCGAAATCTGTTTTCCTTGCCTTTCAACCTCTCTTTCCACCAAAAGCCATGGGTTTGGAGGAGAGGATGAAAGAGTGATCTATACCGAAAGCCACGGATAGATCTTGTTTTGTTTTCGAGGCTTAGAGATCCTCACCAAGTGAGTCGATCCAGAGTTTCAAACCCAAGATCGTTCCTTGAAACCCCTTATATGAATCTCAACCCTAAAGCCCTCTCTTCTAGCATATTTACGTCTTATATCATCTTTAGCTTGTTACCTGATAGCATCCTGGTCTTTAGATTCATTGTTCTTACGGTTTTAGACGAGATCGATCGTTTCTGCTCGATCTAGTGGTCGATCTTGTGGTCGATCCACTAGTCGAATTTTAACAATTCGAAGCTCTTCTCTTTAATTTATCTGTTTGTTCCTCGTGGTAACTGCTTCCTTTCTAGTATTTTTAAAATAGGTTTCATTCCATTTAGGTTGTTGCATTTAGTTTTTAGATTACTTCTCATAAACTGTCTCATTTGCTTAGATTTGTCTTAGACCTTGCATTCTCTGTGGATTCTCTATCATCTAGAAGTGGATTGACACTCTCATGCTTGCCTTACTACAACATTGCTTGCATTAGAGTTTTGATAACCTCTCTGCTGCATTAGACCATAAGAAGCGATTATCACTTGCCACGTGCATACCGTGCTTCTTGGCATAGAAAATTGTCTCCTCCTCCATTTGTATGAACGTTTGAGCTCGGGGAAGTGCATCTTCTATGGTCTCTTTCGGGGTCTTCTGCAGATCCTCCTTGAAGGAGGATACGAACCGTAGGCCGTTCATGAGTGCCTCGATGGCTAAAGCTTACGGGATCTGGCCGTATGCCGCGGCGGCGTTCTTGAATTTTTCAATAAAATCGCGAAGCGGCTGGTCACGCTCTTGTATCAGAGTGAAGAGGTTGACCGTCCTCTTCGTGATAAACATAAAGTAGTGTTTTATAAAGGATTTGATTGATGCTGGTGAGAGGTTGGAGAACCACTTGAGAGCGTCCTTGCTGAGATGCTCAACAAAGGTCTAACAGTGGTTGGCTTCGTGTTCGAGGTTGGTCTCGAACCGTTGTCTCTTCATGGCGACGTTGAACCCTGTCAGCCACAGGTTTGGGTCCTCCATCCCGTTGTAGTATGGGAGTTTTAGTATGATCGCCTAGCTGAGTCGAACGTCTGTGATTCGGAGGGCGAACGGGTTGCCTTCAGCCTCTGATAAGATGGCCGAGATCTCGGGTGCCGAGCTGGTGGCACGGTGGACTTGAGATCCGATCGCGTTAATTCGCTGGTGCAATCTTGCGATCCTAGAGTTTAGTTTGTCGGAGGGTTCTTCATCAGTTGGTGTTGTGCCCCGAGTGTTGGCTTGCTCTGGTGTCTCGAAGATCAAGCGTCGCCTTAGCGGTTCCGATCTCGCGGTGGTTGCGGCTGCCAAGGTGCTGAGTTGCTCGTCATGCTTGGCTTGTTGGGCCTGAAGGGTGTCTAGCTTGGACACCAGGTTTTGTTTGATAGGGAGTAAGGCGGCTTGGATTGCTGCGATGAGGTCGGTGGCGAGGACAGGAGCTAGGGGTGCTCCCGTGGGTGGATTCGCGGTGGTTGGGTTGCTGTGCTAGTCGAGAGCAGGTGTGTCGGTGCGCGTGGTGGTATCCTCGTTGTTGCGGGTGATGTCGCTGCTATCAGATGGAAGGCTCATCGCTTCGGTTCTTTGGTCGCTAGTTTCAAGAATTTTTTCTCCTAGTCCCCACAGATGGTGCCAACTGTTGAATCGAAAAATCACCACTAAGGATTTAATTAACAGTTGTGGGTTTTGGAGAATATGATCTTTTATTAATAGCGATAAAGCAAAGCGATTACAAAGATTGGTATAACCAAGAGGTTATGCCGAAGTTTAAAGAAGGTGTTTGCGAAGTAAACTAGAAAGCGTTGGAGTCTCTGGTTTTAGTTATGCTGCTCTCTAGATTGTATGAGTTCCTTTCTTCAGCTTCGGGGTCTTCTTATTTATAGGGATATGAGGTCGGTTGTTCCGAACTCCTTTTTATTTTTTCTTTGTTGAATATTTCCATATTTTCGATATGAAAATATCTCTTATTCTCCGAAGAATATGGAAATTCTCCTTTATCCTTCGAGTTAATCCGATGCTTTCGGACTTCAAAGGTTATCTTTAGGAGTCATCCTTTTGTCCGAGCTAGGTCGGTGCAGTTTTCTTAGTCTTGATGAACTTAGGTTATTGCTAGAAAAAGCCTTTTAGGAAATGGCTCATTTCCCCTCTAACAAAGGTTCAATGGTGTTTTGCTTATAGCAGCTTTACAAGACGGAAATGGTGAGATCATCCCTTAGCTTTTGGGATTGTTGATTCTGAAAATTATGATGCATGGGAATGGTTTCTAACTCAATTCCCTATGATTTGTGCCGACCAACAAGGACTGGTGATCATTTTCGATAGACATAAATCGATTAAAAATTTGTTAGGAATGTGTTTCCACTAGCTCATCGAAAAATTTATACCTATCATCTCCACCAAAAGCTTATCTTGAAGTTCAAAGAGAGTAGTACACTAAAGTTGGTTAAAAAATCTGCAAGGGTCTATAGAGTTTTGGAGTTTATTGAGCTATTTGACGAAATTCGAAGTCAAAATCCTAATCTTGCAGCATATTTGGAGAAATCTGACATTCGTTTGTGGTCTCGCTCAAATTTTCAAGGAGATAGATATGACATAATGATGAGCAATATCGCTGAGTCTATCAATAAGGTTTTTAAAAACGCTCGTGAGTATCCTGTTGCCTATTTTCTAGAAGAGATTCGAAAGACAGTTTCAAAGTGGTTTATGAATCGACGAGAACATATCAATTTAATATTGGTAATACTCTTACGATACAACACATAGATGCACATCGTAGCCATGTCACTAGTGGTGCATTTGCTTGTGTTGTACACTAACAGGTATGATTTCAGTTCTCATACTCATCTCATTATTATCTTATTGTTACCATGTCGTATCCTACTCTGATTATGTTACGAATTTGCTTTACTTGTTTTGCATTGGAAATAGAAGAGTTGTACCTGTCGCGTTTACCATATAGATAAGATACCTTGTCAGCATGCTCTTGCTATAGCTAGGAAGCGACCAAATATACCGTTGGAAACTCTAGTGCATCCTTATTACACAAAGAATAGCTTATACAGTGCATATGCAGGCTCAATTAATCCACAAGAGTGGGAACCACATGGAGAGTTCACAATGAGAAAGTGTCTTCCGCCGGAGCTAAGACGTGGTGTAGGTAGGCAAAAAAAGTCAAGATATCTATCTGCATTTGAAAAGGTGATGAGTAAACAACCACCACTGAAGAAGATGAGAACAGAGAAAGTGACAACTGAACAACGAACGCTGAAGCTACGCAAGCAATACGCATGTTCACAATGTACCAAGGGAGGACATAATCGGGCCACCTGCAAAGATGTTTAACATTCAATAAGAATTTGATATTTGCTATTTCATATTGGAGATTAATCTGCTAAAACTCATATCGTAAACTGTAAGTTACTTGTTTTACAAGCTATACTTGTTTGCAAGCTATACCTGTTTTGCAAGCTATAATCGACAGGTTTTCTTTTTCTCTTAGTCTTCTCACGTTTAACAAAGACATTGATTCCTTTTTTTTCACGACTATATATGCCATATTTCAGTCCTGAAATTAACTAAATTTATTCTATAGCTCTCACCTAACATATCAATATCGTACTAATCGTAAAAAATAACAAAAAAAAACTGGAGTTTCATAACCGTAATAATCTTAAAAAGGAAAATAAGACTCAAAACTTTCAATAAGGATGTAGTAACTCTGGATCATCTGCTCCAAATGCGGCCAGCTTTTCTCTAACATTCTTGATATTTCCATCAGATATCGGTGTAGAGAATGTGACATCTATTGCATGACACTCAATGGATTTTATTGCATAAATGCCACAATCACCTGATTTCAGCATTTATGGAATCCCTGTTTGCAGCCTTCTGATTTTGTATTTTTCAACACTCATTTTTGCTCGTTCGGCTGGTGGAGCTGAAACTCGAAGTAAGTGCAGTAGCATATGAGCTATTGATTTCACTGTTTGGATGATCTGATCGTTTGTGCAATATTTCAAGCCATTGTCAAAGACTTGAATCGTGCGGTTAGGGATAGAAATAATAATCGCAACCCAATGGTTATCGTTGACGTAAAGTACACGATAGATATCATCTACTTCGGTCCTCCGCTTCTTTCGTGTTTCTGCAAATGCTGGAAGCTTACCAGAACAATAGTCATGTGATCCATTAGGGAAAATAGGAAGATCATGTGCTTGTAGAAACCCATCATAACCTTTGGCCCACCCGGTAGTAAAATAAGTATCGCTAAAAGCAATTCTCCCAGTTCTGAAAGCTTCTTGATTTTTGATAAATCTCAGACGCAGTAAGTTTATAGCGCTGTTAATATGCTGTTACAAAAATGGTTTATAAGGAATAAGAATGGTTTTGAAAAAATTAAGATAAATACAAATCAAATGTGACAATAACCTCTTCAGTTAGCTACTCTTGAGGAGTTTGGAGAACTCTGAAGAACTCTACATCATTGTTTTGGGAGCCAATTGAAAAATCCCTACATGAAAGAAAATTTTGGTATACTAAAAAAACATATAATTATTGATACACTAGTACCATGAAAACTATGGAAAAAAATTAAACTTACTCGTTTAAATGCAACCAATCGTCCAAACTTTTAACTTTCTGCACATCCACCAGTGTAAATGGATCGTACCCACATCCCCTCACAGCATTAGGCTTGTCAACTTGTTTGTTGTTACCTAAAATCGGTAAATTACTTTGAAATGGTGCTTGTAGAGCCGGCTCCAGTGTCATCAGTCTTGGGCTTTTATCTCGCACAATCTTAGTTTGGTCTACTCCCATAATCTTTAAAGTCTTGCCAATTTTTTTCTGAACAGTGGGCTTAATTATCTTTACTAGCGAAGCTTCTTGAGGTTGTGCATTTCGAATATTCGTCATGGGGATTCTTCTATCTACCGTGCTCTCTTCATCTGATTCAACTATTTTGTTTCTTACACCATTTATGTCCACAAAAAAGCCGTCTGTAGAAATGTCTTCATCTTTTAAGTGAGGTACTTTAATACACTGCATATCAGAAAATATGTATTAGCTTTTGGATACAAAGTCTGGAAAGAAAAATTGTACCAAATATTTGAAATAAGAAACATAAATGTTACTTTTAGGATTGTAAATAGCATATGGAAATACTTTATTAGTCTTTAACTTCTCTCTTAGTAGTGTCATTTCCTGTTCCAAAAGTTCAAACTTTAAGCACATTATTTCAAAACCTTCAAGTTGTTTTCCCATATTTTCTACCTTCGCCTCCAAAATCTCAAAATTTTTTGTTTGTTTCTCAAATTCTAATCTTATTTGTGATGCTTCAGCATACTCAATAAAAAAAAATAAAGTGCTTGAGTTTGCTTTCATTTTTTCATGTCTGAATTTGTGGTTTTCATTGTGCGTTTCCGTAATTCCTTATTAATATCACTTTCTTCTTTTCCCTCTTCATCGTTTGCACCTACATCTTCTGCTACATTATTTTCTGTTTGGATGATGTTTGATCCATGCTCCACAGCCTCTACCCAAGTGACATCTCCTAAACCTCCTTCTTTACATACGGTTTGCAAAAGAACGTTACTTTTCTTATCTACAATTTTAGCAGTCCAAACAAAAGGTGCCGCATAGTTGATAACAACACTCGTAGTGTTCTTCTAAAAGCATTAAACAAATATAATATTAATATTTCTCAAGACAAAATAAATTGAATCAGCATCAACGTAAAACACAGGTAACAATACACATACCTCATTAGCAACTGAAAAGACATAGATATTGATATTGTTTCTTCCTTTTAAACCATTAAATTTCAGAATAGAATGCCCATCAACATTTGATGGACGACCAATCTTTGCTCAGAGACTGGGAACTAAATTGTAAGCCCATACTTGGAGGATTTGTATGAACCCATCTATTGTGTATGACTTAGCATTCAAATCTATACGCTTCACTGATTCAATCAGCCGCTTGAAAGCCTCTCCGCCCCAAAGATATTTCTCAAATTTAGGCAAATCAAAAACCATACGGGCAAATTCCAAAGGAAACTCTTTTTATCATCTTTTGCCTATGATAACAATTGCTAAAATATACAAATATGTAAAGCAGACTTTTTCTTCTATTGACCAATCAGAGACACCTCTTTCAACTCTATCTAATAAGGGCTCTTCCTCTTTACTTTTAATTTCTTCCACAACTTTTTATACACTTTAGTTTCTATAACTTCTTCACTCTTAGGAAAATGTGCACAATTTATTATGCTTTGAAACTCTGATAGATAAAATCGAGCCAGTGTATTACCAAACAAGCACCACACTCTTTGCAAATAAGTTGATTCACAAGAAGATGTTCGACGATCTTAGATGACCAGGTGAATTTATTTTCAGCAAATTGTATAATTATTCCGAGAAGAGAACCATGAATATTGTTCCAAACTTTTTCTCCAACAACGCTTTCTACATCTTCTAAAGAATCAATCCTACAATAGTGGTTGATGCCTTTTTGGGTTTTGGCCCATTGTCGAGTGAATATAACTTTAATGGAAATCCTAAATCTATGTTTGTTTGACTCGACACTTTGCCAAAATATGCATCAATTAGTACAAAATAACTTGATACGGTGATTGAAAAACGCTTTCGTATCCTGAACAAAAAAAATCAGTTCTAAGACAATATTAACCTAGAACATTTCCTTATGAAACATCTAATAATTATTTAACGTGTTTTAAAATAAGTGTTAAAACACTTCTGACATTTTTGAAATGAATTTTGTTTCCAAATTATAATAGAAGCAATTTTGGAATTACTGAAAAATGAAAAAAGAAAATGAAAAAATAGGTTAAATTAACAATATAAATTTTGATGGATTACCTAAACTACTAACAAAATTTAATGGGTTATGTTAGATAATTTTCTCTTTCAATACATCTCATTATCTTATATAACTAAGAATAATGTCTCATGTTATTGCATGCATCCAACTTTATGACACATACATAGCCGTAATCCTCGCAGTCCAATTTATTAAGTATTTTTTAAGTATTGAACTTACAAGGTTTCTTTAAGAAAGCAAGTTCAAATTTGGAGATGAAGTCTACGATAAACTGAAGGACCTCTTGGGGGTTCTCTTGGTTAATAAAGTGCGCCGCTCCCTCCATGACCACAGGCTCTTCGAGCATAGGAACGTCTTCCTTAAATTTGGGACCGTGTATGTAATTCTTCACACCAGGCATATAGTAGACCAGATCCTGGTCTCCTATAACGAACTTTGTAGGTACCTGGATTTTGCATCCTACCCATGGACCCATCAACTCATTGTTCCTGCCATTAGAGAACAATGCGTTAATTTACGCTTCTGCATATTGTGTAAGAAGTAAATCACTTTTTTAAAACAGAACATTTTTACACTAGAACAAATACATATATGTTATTGAAATAAAATTCATTTTTCTGTACTTCAAACCTCCTCACATACTCTGCAGGGTATATGGCGTGTTACCGGCTTTAAAATATCTCTTGTTGTCAAAGGAAATAACAAGTAACATAATTTAAATATTTGCAACTGGGGATCGATCTACAGCCACACGAATAGTTTGGATTCCATCTCAAAGCACACAAGTCCGAGTCTCTTTAAAGAACTACATTGGATCAAACCTTTTTTTCCAGCACAATACAAATTTTGAAATTAGGTCCTGACCCACATTGCATTTAGATTTCATCTGTGCTCTTTGATTTGATCACGATTAGCATTATAAAATCATTGATCTTCCAACTCCACAAATAGTTTAGATTCTAGCTTTGAATCGATGCTTTCGCTAATAGAAGCTCTTCAAAGCAATTCTCAGATCAGCACTTCTTATTTCTTTTTCTTTTTTTCTGTGGTTCAATTTGAGATTTTTTGTTTTTTTTAGTATGAGTGTGCCAAGGCATTCTTTCAAGTAGCAAGGAAAGAAGCTATATACATCAGAACTCTCTTATACGATCAGATCGTGACTGAAAGACCAAGCTATTCTGCTTGCTCTCAAAAGCTTGTGTAGACCATTCGTTTGACTCACATGAACGAGACTAGACACCATTTGTAACACTCCTAATTTGATTTTAACACAAACGAACTTTCTTAGTTTATTTTTTTTTGATGTATGGTGTGACATTCTTTCAACTAGTAAAGAAAGAAGCTATCAAATTAATCTTATCGGAACTGATAAAGAAAATGACTGAAAGATGAAACTATTTTGCTCGCTCTCAAAAGCTTGAGTAGACCATCTGTTCAACTCGCCTGGAGGACACTAGATAGTAGACAACATTTGTAACAATCCTAATTTGATCGAAACATAAACGAACCCAAAATAATATATTATCGAAGTTCACAAATAGGCCTTTGATTTAGACCAATCCAAGACTATAGCAAATCTGTTATGTTAGCTCAACCTTTTCGACCAGAACCTAAGACTTGACAACCATACTCTAAACAAGAATTGTGTAAACCTAATATCAACCTAATATTTTGTTAATCAGGAAAGCATACAGCAAACCTAATATCAACCTAATATTTTGTTAATCAGGAAAGCGACCCGTTTCTTTGTCATCCTTCCACGTAGATTCTGAGGTGCACTAACTCTAACCGTTATGATCCAGTTTTTGTATTTGTTAATTAATGGACTTGCCTAAATTTTGAAGTTCTGTATTCTCCTTTCAGGACTAATAAATGGCCTTCTACATCTATGGATTTGTTGGGTAATATGGAAAACTTGAGATCTTTCAATCCGATCAACATTTGAACTAGAATTCAAACTATTGGTAGGGCTGTAGATTGATCATCCTTATCCTTAGCAACTACATGTCAAGTAACTATTGTATGCGGTTTCTTTATATTTTGCTAGTGTATTAATATATTATTTTCGAAAATGCACCCAGTTCTAAAACATAACTATAAGTACACATCAGATATAAGTACACATCAGATTAGGTTATAAAATTTCTTTTAGTTTAATTTTTATAGATTACTAGGTATTTAGCCGGATAACGCTGCGAAATAATTTTTCTAGATTTGTATATATTTTTAATATAATAAAATTATTTTTATAATGTAAATAAATATTATTTTTATTTTTTATTAGGTTAAATTATGTATTTATATGTTTTAAATCTGAATAAACATTATTATTAATTTTTTAATTTTTTAAAATTATAATCTACTATCAAATTTGTTTAGCTAACAATCTATAAATATATATGTAAAAATAAAATAATACATTTTAAATACCTTCATGCTAATCGTAAATATAATTTATTTTCTCTACTAAATTGATCCTCTTTTAAAATTATATAAAGTAAATTATCATTTAAAAAAATATTAATTAATATAATTATTTTAAACTATAAAATTTATTTGTTTATCAAATATTTATTATAGATATATGTTTCTAAACTATCAAACTATAATCAATAACATTTATATCAAAATCATTACTATTACTTTAGAACTAAATAAAAAATTGTATTTGAACTGTTAAAATATCAATTTAGTTAAAGTTAAATAATTCAATTTTGGTTATTATAAACATATTATAATTTTGAAAATTAGCACAAAAAATTTTTATCATTTATAAAAACTGAGAAATTACATTTTCTGATAAAACAAAAAAAAATATATTTTTTCACAAAACTAAGAAATTTTCGTCAAAACCAAAAAAAATTATTTTCTCTTCAAACCTGAAATTCATTTTCCCACCAAAACAAAAAAATTACATTTTCTCTCAAGAACCAGTGTTTTCTCGTCAAAACAGAGAAATCAAAATTTTTCACCAAAACAAAAAAATTTCATCTTCCTGCAAAAACAAAAAAAATAATATTTTCCTGTTTAAACCAAAAAAATATTTTTTTTTGTAATAATCGTCTATTCCCCACCAAAACAAAAAAAAATATATTTTTTTCGTTAAATCAAAAATAACGTTTTCCTACTAAAACCGATAAACTACAATTTTTCGCGAAAACCAAAAATTGCATTATCTCATAAGAAATTGCGTTTTTCACAAAAACTAAAAAATCATATTTTCTCTCGAAAACAAAAAAAAATTAAATTATATGTCAAAAACTAAAAATTTGCATTTTTCATCAAAACCAAAAAATTATTTATTCTCACCAAAATCAAAAATTTTTACTTTTCTATCAACCTGAAAAATTACATTTTCTGCTAAAATTGTCAAATTACAATTTTTTACAAAAATCAAAAAATTACATTATCCATCAAAAGCCGAAAAATTACATTTTCTATCAAAACCGAAAAATCGTATTTTTTGTCAAAATTAAAAAATTACATTTCTCTCGCATGTTCTCGTCAAAATCAAATTTTTTATTTCTCACCAAAACCAAAAATTCACATTTTTCTGCCAAACCCGAAGATTCGCTTTTTTTCGCAACCGAAAAACTATATTTTTTTACCAAAACTGAAAATCACATTTTTCTACTAAAACCAAAAAATTCTCTATTTCCGCCAAATCCAAGAAAATTTGTTTTCGATAACCAATAAAAAGACGAATTTCCAAGCTGTGATAGTTTGAATTTTTCTTCATTTGCTTTCACCTTCTATTTTTTTTGTAAACTTTAAACTTTTTAATAAGTCAGCAAAATAATAAATTAAATTTATTAGTGTATTAATAATATATATTATTGTTATGTTTTTATTAGCTCAAATTTTTGCTGATGTAATCTTCGTTTTTTTTTCTCTCTATCACTTTCCACTCTGAAATATCATAAATTAATATTAATTATTTTTTTATCGTGTAAATCTTTAGGATTCTGTAAATATTCCATTCCAAAAATAAAAAATTAGTTTTTTTAGAAATTAGATGCAGTTACTAATTCATGATCTGCCATGTACAGAATGAAATAAACTTCTTATAACATAAAATTTTTTGCATTGCTGTTATTAAAACATAGTTGATGATGAATCTGCATTCTCTTCAATCATATACGTATCTATCAAGCAAACACATAGATAGAAATTTTAATTTTAATTTTTTTTGCTATTATTTATTATTTAAGTTTGAATTTGACAAAAATATAAAATAAATATTTAATTTTATTATTTATTGTTATTTATTATTTGAATTTGAAAAAAAAAATAATTTTTTTTATTTGCTATTATTTATTATTTGGACTTAAGCTTGATAAAAAAATAATATTAAAATAAACAATAAAAAATATTTGAGTTTCTAATAAGTTTTAAATTTAAAAATTAAATATATTGATGACTTGTATTAATAAAATATTTTTATTAGTGTTTTTTTTACTGAAATGTCATCTTTTAAAAACTTGAAAATGCTGATGTGTCAAACCATAAAAAAAATATTATTATTGTGTTAATTTAAACATGACATACAAATAAACCATTTAATAGCAAGGACTGGAAATTACGGTACCCGTTTTTTATAAGTCAAATACGACGGCCAAGTAGAAAATATAGTTGAAATTGTCGGTACCACTACTTGCTGCCAACCCCTATCGATCATTCTAGGTAAGGTTCTCTACATTCAAGTGTGTAAAGAGATACCATAAAAGTAGAGAGAAGAAGTTACCTATCAAAGTTACGGTAGAAATTGACTCCACCAGTGAAGCCTTTCTCTTCGAACTTGGTAACATAGTAGGCAACATCTTCCTCCGTTAACCAAGACGGCAAAGGGATATATTCGTCTTTTAATCCCCAAAAACTTTTTATCTTTAAGCAGAATTAGCGGTCGAGGGGTTCTATATGTGAGTATCCTCCTCACTACTCTTTCTATCCCAACCTCTGAAATCTCCTCCTCAATTTCTCCAACTTCCTACAATTCCACAATCAAACCCATAATTCTACGAACGATTTCTTAAGTAATTAGGTAGATATCTAAACAATCACAGACACAAGATATTTATGATTTGTTAACTATTCAAATAATTGGACAGAAAGAGATTTGACTTAAAAACCTTCACTATCTATATTTGTGCGTTTTGTTTATATAATTTACAAAAGGAAACTTCAATATAACTTCAGAATTAAAATTAAGAAACATTTACAAACACTATAACAAATCATATAGATTTTAGAATCCTTCTCAAATTGAAGATTGAATATCAACTTTAACGAACCTGAAACCGGCACATGTAGAAATCGTCGCCATAGAACTTACGCAAGACGTCAAGAGGTTTAACGGTAGGATCTGTAGTATGGAAACAGAAAGGAACAGAGAGGTTGACCAGGGCTTTGACTTTATCAGGTCGGAAGAGACAAAGATACCAAGCGATGAGAGCTCCCCAATCATGGCCAACCACAAACACTTTCTCTTCCGTTAAGGCCGTTATGACTGCGATTAAGTCACCTACGATGTGGAAGCAAGTGTAGGAAGAGATATCCGGCGGCGCATCGGAGTCACCATAACCACGTAAGTCAGGAGCAACGGCGCGGTAGCCAAGAGCAGCGAGACCGGGGATCTGGTGGCGCCATGAGTACCAGAGCGTAGGGAATCCATGGATGAGGAGAACTATGGGACCATCAGAAGGGCCTTGGATCGCCACGTGGATGTCTATGCCGTTACCTCTAACCTTTCGGTGCTCCATATGTTTACTTTGTGTTGTTTCAGTGACTAATCCTCCCTATCCCACTTTTTATACCATATGTTTACTTTGTGGAGTCACCTAACGCGTGTTGTTTATGCCTAACACGTGTTGATGATTATTCAACTTTTGATTCTTTTCTAGAAATATCAAAAACACCGTTATCCTCATATTATATTATTATTAGATTAATACTAGCATTTATGTATGAATATTTTTAAATAAAATATATTTTATTATAAAAATAAAATATGTCTATGCGAATTTCATACTTATAATATATTTGTTGAATTTATTTTTACCGTATCTAATAGGTAAAAGATACATTGATAATAGGCTGGTTGAAATGATGAACTTGGTGTCTAGATTTGTCTAACAACTCCCTATCTAAATGTTCTTCGGTATATGGCGGACTTTCCAATGAGTATGAGCATATCTACTCTCTCTAAACGTCTCTCGGATGGGATAAATCAAAGAGAAATGTGTATAAGAAAAGAAGAAGAGGTCAAGGTTGAGAAGAAAGACCGATGATCTCCCAAGCATCTCTCAGAGGCGAGAGGCTGAAGATCCTCTAATGTTCCCTCAAAGGAGCGCCAACTAAGATAAGCATTCACTTCTTCTCTATCTCTTTACTATATCCCCATTAAGAGAGAGCTATACCTTCACTATCTCAATGGTTCATACATTTCACATTTTTCTTTGCCAAATGATAGAAGAGTATCACGATCCTTGGACGGGATATCCAAACTATAAAACAATCACCATCCGTCCGCCCTCTTGATTATCTGTTCACTGCGGGACGTAATCTAAATTGTGCATCAGAGAACTTTCGGGAGGAAAACCTATTTCCGATCTCCCAAAGGCCCGATTCACCCACTGTGAATGTTTGCAAGACCCAAAAAATTTCTCATCCAGAGAGTATATACCGCTCAATCCTCGAGGCCTAATCTAAGAGGTTCAGTTGTACTACTCGGACGAACACACACATCCCCGTAAAAAATCTGTAATTTTCTCACAAACAATATTACTTCACAAATATAATAATTGATTTTTTTTATATCATATATGTATATATAGTTGTATAAAGCTATATTTTGTATATTTAAGTTTATTGTATTAATTAATTTATAACACTATATACTATTTTTGGAGTGATTTATCAAACATAATGATGATTTTATTTTAATAATTATTATTTTTTATTTTACTTTTAAAATACCATCAAATAGGACTATTATACATATTATGCAAATAATAGTTTATTTTTTTTCTTTTTTTATATTCTTTTATTGTCAAACTATAACTATATCTTATTTTTAAATAAATATATGTTTGTTATGTAAATGGTTCATTCATCATCAAAGTTTCACGAGCATTATCAAATTTTTTTTTTTTGCTAAAAATTGCAGAAATCATTTTTCGTTTTTTACAATAAAAAGAAGTAGTTTTCTCTGGTTTTTTTATATCTTAAATTATTTTTAGCTCGAATTCAATTAAGTTTTATTATTTAAAATCATAAATAAATAGATATTTCATATTCTATAAATTGCAGTTTTATATCTAACTAATGAAATTAATTTAATGATAATTATTTATTAGATTGTTTTAATTTTAATTAGCCACTTGTCACTTTTAAATTAATCTAAAATATTGATGTGTCAAGATAATGAAGAAGATTATTTCCTATTCATATATATTATTATGTGTCTGCAGATTAAAAGAAACTATAAACGGACATTTTACCTTTGTTTCCTAGCTTTGGAGTTTGGTTTCACGAGAAGAGACAAAAGGTTTTATCTTTTTACGAGTTTAAGATCCATATAAAAGTGGAGACTTCGTTCGGAATAAGTTGGGTCTCAAGTTTTCAAACACTTGTACGGTTGTACCATAATTGGTGCTTAGCACAATTGGACCTTCGCTTAACAATCTCATTTTCTTATCATTTAAAGAATATTTTCTAACATAATATCAAAATATTAATTTTTTTTGTAAAAAGTAGAAAAATCTAATTATTTTCATCGTAAAAATATATATAAATTCTTAAAAAAATTAAATGTGGATACAGAAATTGATACTCAGAAATTTATGTATTTTGTAAGAGAAGAGACTTTAGGAGAATTAAGGGTTAGATTCTTCAAATAGATTGACTATATAAGCAAGCACTAACTGAAATAAGAATTTGATTATTAATCGATCGAATGAAATGGTTACAAAGATTTTGATAGAAAAGATGAACTGAAAGAGCTTTGGAAGCAGTTACAGAATTTTCGAGTGTAAAAGGTGTGTAAAAAGATCAAGCCGAAGGTCCTCGAACTAAGCCATTCTCCTCTTTTATATAACTCTAACGCGTATCTCGGCCACGTGCAGCAGTTTCAGACGGAAATCTCGCCACATGCAGCAACCTCCTCCGCAATCTTCGGACTCATTTGAACTGGCTAGAATATGCTCTGACTTGGCTCGGATCCTTCCTTGTTTCTCGGGATTTGATCAAGCTAGAGCTCGACATCGCCGAACGAAGCGTCTTACTGCTCAGGATTGGATCGTTGAGAAGTGAATGGGCTTGGGTCGTAAGGCTGAAGCCCAGTCATTTTGGTTTAGTTTGGACCTGCCAGTTGGGCTTGAGTGGGCCGTATTTGGGGTGCCAAATCCAGCTCCAACAATTGCCCCCCAGTCCATTAAGGAGAGCGAGCTTGAGCTTTAATGGATGACAAGATGGGACTTTTGAAAGATTTTGTGTTTGATTATGCTGACGTCATGGAGTCAGATAATCATTCAAGATCGACGGTTTAGATCTTGGAAAGGTGAACAGTTCGTCGATCGTGTGGTCGAGAATCGACCACGAGACCGCAACTTGGCGTGTCGAGATAAATCTGTTATTATCTCGTCCAGGTGGACGGTCGGGATTCGAAGTAAATATTGCCATTTGCTTTGCTGTTTCGGCGGTCGAGCTTCCCGGGGCAAGGTGCATCCCTCGAGAAGATTCTCACTAAAGTCTAACAACGTGGATGGTCCAGATGGAGAGAGAGGGAGTTGATCTAACGGCCTTAATCGATCGAGCTGTGCAGCGCGTCAAATCGTCGGGGTCGAATATTCGACGGTTGAGATCGGAGGATCGGACGGTCGAGCTTGGCTCGTGGCCAGATTCTCCGCGATCTTCGAGGTTGATAATAATTACCTCAATATAAAGCCCACCTTCTCCACTCCTTCTTTAACCGCATCAGTTCGTCGAGTAAAGGTAACCTCTTCTCTCTCTTTTTCCTTTTATTTTCTGCAACTTCTATTCCTTGTAGTTTTTAGAGATCGTTTGCTGAGTTTCCTCTTAGAAGAACTCCGACCTTTGTTTTTGAGTTTTCTGGGTTTAGCGTCTGCTGTTTTCTTCCTCCTTTCTTTTCCGATGTCGGCAATAGTGAAAACTGAGGGAAAAAGCTCTGGGAGGGCTGCTGTAGGTCCCTCCAAAATCGACCAAAAGACTCTCGACGACTTCCGTCAAGAGTGCGAAATCCCCGACGGGGTGGAGCTGGCAATCTTGATGCCAGCGGAGACTCCGGCGAGTGTGGAGCCGGGCTTCTGTTGCGCGTATGCAACATACTTGCCGGATTGCAGGCTGTTATTCCTGATCCCTCGGTTCATCCTCGAGGTGTTGGCGGACCTGCGGCTGGCTTTCCTGGAGATGTGTCCGAACTTGGTTCGGGCCATCATCGGATGTGTCGTGCGGGCCAAAGAGGAGAACATGATTTTTCACTACTCGGACCTGAGGGCATTTTTCTCTGTCAAATATAACGCCTGCTGTCCTGGGACTTTCTACGCGTCCCCGAGGTCGAACCGGCGGTTCATCGAGGAGAGTCTGGAGAAGGACTCTGGTTGGGAGAAGACCGGGTTTAAATTCTGGGTCAATAAAGCGTCCATCGGAGATTTTGACTTCTCCCAGCTGCCGGTCGAGTTCGCGGGCAACGGTTGTCTTGTGAGGCTTAGACGTTTGTCAGCTTTACTCGCTTTTGTTTTGCTAGACTGGTTTTCTAACCCTTTACTTTTTTGTTGTTTATCAGGTCAGTTATCCATAGCACCAAGGGATCCCGACATCGAGCACCGGCTAGAGTTGTTCAGGCGAAGAGAAGTTGTCTGGAGCACGTTCACGAGAGAACGAGTCCGACGAGTCCATTCATCACCTGCCCCGGCTCCGGTTGTCGCGCCTGGTAAGTTTTTCTTAGTGAGCTATCGTTATGACCTTAGTTTGTTGGATCACGATGGAGTGATGTGTGCTAATTTATTTGGCTGGCAGCTGGAGTTCTTCCTCTCCATTCTGTTCTGCCTTCTTCTAGTTCAGCAAGTTCAAGTTCAGCTATGTCTCGCAAGCCAACGTTCCATCAAAGAGCCGGGAAAGCCGCGGCCGGCCCCAGCAGCTCCAGAGTTCGCTCCAGGAGCGTCAAGGAGGCCCTCGAGGCCGCTCTCGCCTCAGCTGCTGCTTCTGCACCTCACCTCCGCGAAGAGGAGGTCGAGCAAATGATGGACCCTCAGCCCGACCCCCCTCCCAGGTTGGTGGGGCGATTTCAGTGAGCTCGGGCAAGACCCAGCAGCCCGCTGACAACCAAGGGCCCGAGTAGTCTTCCCAGCCTGCCTCCAAGAGGCCAAGAGATGACGGGAAGTCAGGCCACTGAGCCGCACCCATCGGCGTCCAACGGGAGTGGTGGCTTGACGGGTAGTCGGCCTTTCCACTGGAAGTTCGAGCACACCAAGGATCATCCAATCACAGATGACTCCGAGAGCATGGCGGCCATGTGGCGTCATTTCAAGCCCGATGGGTGCCAACTTCCAGCTCTCTAGAAAATGACTGAGAGGGAGCTCTACGTGGAGATGGCGCGGCCCAGGGGAAGGTAAAGGAGTACCTTTTGCTTTGTGTAAATTTGGTTAAGTGTTATTTGTCTTAACGCTTTGGTTCTTGATGCTTGCAGGCTGCGGAGGCTGGGAACTGGCTCTATGCTCGACTTGAGAAGAGGCTGCGGGAT